CATTTGCTCTGGTCATGCAAATCCCTCAAGTCGTATTGGAATAAGGTGTTCCAAATAATCTCGTCAGTCTCAAATTTACCAACACCCCCAAATCCAGCTATAGCACTCCTTCATTTAACAATAGAAAAATTTCCCGTACGTTCACGCATCATTATAATACACATCCTAGTAGCAGCAAAGACCAACATTACAAAACTATGGCGAACTACGTCACCTCCCCTACTATCCCGTCTAGTTGCTGATCTCAACTCACAATGTGAGATGGAACGCAGAACGGCCCTCAGAAACTCTTCCTACCATAAATTTATACTACACTGGTCTCGATGGTTGCAACACCCCAATTGCTCAGTTACCTGATTGCTAATCATAACTCTTATAGGATCCTATATTTGTAACTCATCGGTGCCCTCCTTTCCCCCTCTCCTTTTTTTTTTCCCTTTTCCCTCTCCCTATTACTACCTAGTCCCTTAAGTTTCACGGTTTTTTCTCTTAGTACGGTTCACAAACCAATGAGCATACCTCTCATGTAAACATGATTACGGAAAATCGGGCTCCCAGCCAGTAACAGGAGGTCGGTTACCTCTTTTTGCATTGCAAATACTGTTAATCTCCTAATGTGAACCTTGTACTCGACTTTTTCTATACAATGTTATGTTTGTCATGTTATCTGAAAATTTCAATAAAAACTATTTGAATATAAATACTCAGGGCCATCGGGAGTTTTTTTCGGTGCGTGTCGGGAGTCTTTTTCGGTGAGTGGGCAGGTGATGGGCACCATGATTAATGATGGATTTACAATGAAGGGCTTTTCTTGGGATTTTTATTTTTTTTGATAAGGGACTTGTCAAACTTTTGGGTATTTTTTTATTTCTAGTTGACATCTTTGTTTTCAAATAAATTAGTAGGGGTACTATGTACCCCATACACATTTACATGGAAAGGGCGGTATCAGGGGTCACTCCTATTATTAATGGGGGCTTCCAGATTCCAATAGGCCCCCAATTGCAGACACCCCTCCCCTTCCTTGTGGGGAGAGGCCTTCGTCCTCATCAACATGAGTAAAATGTGGAAGGTACCTCACACTGAGGGCATGTGACCTGGTAAGGTTCAGGAGGTGGGCAACAAGCTCACCCCCCTTTCCTGGAGAGTCTGGTTTCCTGGGTTATCTCACACTTTTTTTTTGTATGATGTACCCCCTTAAAATTCATGACCGATTATATATATATATATATATATATATATATATAATACACATCATAGTTTGTGAACTCTATAACTTTCCTACAGACTAATAATATACACTGATTTGGTTTTTTCACCATAGAAATGTAGCAGAATAGTTTGGCCTGAATGTATGAAGAACGAGTATATATTTTCAAAATTTTATAACAGGAACAAGGAAAATTTAGTTTTTTGTTTTCAAAATGTTATGTCTTTTTGCGTTTATTTAGCAAAAAAATAAAAAACCCACTAGTGATTAAATGCCACCAAATGAAAGCTCTTTTTGTGTGAAACAAATGATAAAAATTTAATATGGGTGCAGTGTTGCATGACCTCCCAACTGTCATTCAAAATGTGAGAGAGATGAAAGCTGAAAATTGGTCTGGGAATGAAGAGCTAAAAAAAAGTCACCCTCCAAAGGTAACCCAAATGCATATCAGACCCTTAGTGGGGGTATGTGTACATTTTTTCTTTTTTTTTCATAAAAATAAGCTGGCAGTGAAATATCATTTACCAGCCTTTTTGGACACTTCTCTTTTCCTTGTAAATGTCAGTGCCACTGCATCACAGAGATTTGCCCCTTCAAATGCTGAATTAAGGCACCCCCCAGGCATGTTGTTTCAAAAGAATTGAAAATTTGTTATGTTTCACTTTAATTATTTACTACATCAGTGCTCCTATCCAAATGTCTTTTTTTTTTTGTTTTGTTTTTTTTTTTTTTTGGAATTGCAACTAAGAAAGACCAGGTTCCCTCCTTTTCCAGACTGGGCTCTGTTGTGTGACAGCTGAGTAAATCTCAGAAGTAGATGGACATCAAAATCCATTCCCAGGTAAATCTCCCTTATGTAAATTTTATCAGTGTACTTGGCTGTTTTGCAGGATGTTAGAGTTACCATAGATGTTCTGTATTCACATCATTGTGCTGAGTAGGGAGCCATATATTGGGCATTCACTGCAATTGCACAAATTTGTATTTTTTCAATAAAGATCAGGTAGTCTGCTTTTTAAAAATAAAGATTTTCCATCCACCACTGCAGCTATTTTAGCTTCCTGAAGAATGCTTCCGTCCTCCTTTTGACAGGTATTTGCTTGTAAGTTCATTTATATATATAAAACATATATATATATAAATATATATATATATATATATATATATATATATATATATATATATACACAGTACTCAGCATAAATTATTACACCCCTTCTGAAAAGTAAGATTTCAATCAATACCTCAATGAACACAAGAACAATTTCCAAACTTTTGACAAAACTGAGTTCTATAGAACATTTGTTTGGCTCATTACATGAAAGTAAGGTCAATAAAAGAATTGAGATTACAAAATCTTCAGTTTTACTCAGACTAGTTGATGCAAAAATGAATCCACCCCACAGAAGAATCTACCACATCTAGCATTTTGTATGACTTCCATGATTTGTAAGGATGGCACCAAGTCTTCCAGGCATGAATGAACAGGTTGGCGGCGACATATTGCAACATCAATCTTTTTTCATTCTTCAAGAACGACCTTTTTTAGAGCCTGGATGCTGGTTGGAGAGTGATGCCCAACTTGTCTCTTCAGAATTCCCCATAAGTGTTGGATTGAGTTCAGATCAGGAGACATACTTGGCCACTTAATCACTTTCACCCTGTTTGTCTTCAGAAATGCAACACTGGCCTTAGATGTGTGTTTTGGATTATTGTCATGCTGGAAAATTGCATGACGACCAAAGGCAAGGAATGATGGGAGCATCTTCTCTTTCAATATAGAGCTGTACATCTGTGAATTCATGATACCATCAATGAAATGCAGCTGCCCGACATCAGCAGCACTCAAGCAGCCCCACAGAAGGACACTGCCACCACCATGTATTGCTGTAGGTACCATGCATTTTTCTTTGTACTCCTCACCTTTGCAAAGCAATAAAGTTTTGAAGCCGTCAGTTCCAGAAACGATTACCTTGGTCTCATCACTCCAGAGTACAGAGTCCCAGTATTCTGCTTCTTTTCAGCATTGGCCCTGGCAAATTCTAGGTGAGCTTTTTTGTGCATGGGCTTTAGGAGAGGCTTCCTTCATGGATGACACCCATGCATGCCATTCCTCTGCAGTTTGGCTTTTTACTTCTTTATCTAACTGCAGTGAACTTGTATTGTGATTTTCTTCAACCCTTCTCATCAGAAGATGCTCCTGTCGAGGTGTTAACCTCTGTGGACTGCCTGGAGATCTCTGTGAGATGGTTGCAGTTCCATCTTTGTAAAATTTTTGTATCACTTTTGCTACAGTATTCTGACTGATAAATAAAGCTTTGCGGATCTTCTTGTAGTCTTCACCTTTCTTATGTAAAGAAATGATTTTCTTTCTCAGACCTTGTGACATTTCTCTTCCATGTGGTGCCATTGCTGACAGCATGAAATGGGAGGGGTTTTCTTTAAGTAATGCCCTTTTATAATCACCTGTCTGCTAAACGTGTCTGTTTAATGAATAATTAGACTCACCTGGAGTTGAAATCTTGTTATTAGGATTTTGTTATCTAAAATTTAGCTTTGCTCCTAAGACTTTCATTGGGGTGCATTCATTTTTGCAGCATGGTCTGGGATGAATTTGTTAGGAAATATACTTTTTGTGTGCAAATTAACAAATTTTGTTTGCAATCAATGGCCGGCATTTGTAGGAGGATTTTGTAGTATAGTGTCCCATAAAAAATGTTGATTCTGCAAGGATCTGTTGGGGTGTATGTATGTATGTATGTATGTATGGCTTTACATCAAATGAAATACAATATCAACCACACAGGGAGTATATTGTTTTTAATTAACTATCCAGCTCATACTGTAGACTCATAGCAGCAGCAAAGCAAAACCATTGTGTGGTACTGCAACGAAGGAACTAGATCCTGGTGTGATGGATTTGGAAAAATGTCTATTCGGTTTCCTGTTTAAAATATACATTTTATATATATATTTACTTTTATACTTTTATATTTTTTCATATTTCTAAATATGTGTTGTGCGTATATATTTTGTCTGCTGGGCTTTGCAGTCCTTCTTAACTTGTTTGTTCAGAGCAATGTTCTCAACCCCTCCCTTCGAACTGTGAGGATTTTGCAGTTACGACCTTGAATATGTGAGGGGGGGGGGGTGAGGAGATAACGGCGAGGATCCTCAAGTATCAAGTTTCTGCACTTCTTTCATATTTCAGCCAAGCAAAATGTGCCTTTTAGAATGTGACTGTATATACGTAATAGTGACGTATACTCTATTGTTCTCCTTGTATAAAAGGTTAAGCGCCGCCCTGCAATAAACAGAGATGAGATGATGTGAAAGTGGTTGTACTGGACAGTTGTCCATGTAATTATTTTCCGGCGTGCACGCAATCCATATCTCAAAATTAGGAGCAGCAGCAGACATTCAACCCTGAGCCCAATTGTGGTTCCCAAAACCTTTTTACTGGTTATGTAAAGTACAGTTAAACACAGAGGCATTTGTAAACCCCTACCCAAGACATGAGCAGACCAGCTAACCTGTTGATTGCTGAATGTCCAGCAGTCAATGTAAACTCTCCTGGTTAGAGCAGGTGTGCACTGCAGAGACTGGCGCTGCAATGCTAAGTAATGTCCAGCAGATGCCAAAAACATAAGTCTGAGCACCACAGTATACAAAGAAACAAGGTTTTTATATTAAAAAAAATATTAAAATGAACAGAATTCCTTTTAAAAAGGGGAATGTTATAACCGAAGGTGAGAGGCACCTTTCTGGATAATCTCATCTTTACTCTTACCGAAACACAAAGTCAGCTCGGTCAATTTCAGCTCCGCAAAAGCTGCTGTTTAAAATTCCTCCATTTCCCACCACCGCGCAGCTTCTGATTGGCTTCTGGAATGGAGACTTCTACGATGAAAGAGAGATGGATGTTTGTTCACAATCCAACCTAATTGTTGCTCTGTTCATGATCTGAATACCCAGGTGAGTTGACATTAACTGAACCAGTTGCTTTGTGGTGTTCTCATGTTACATCTAGGTATCGCTGAAGAACATTGTACAGAGATCGGGCAATTAGATTGTAAAGTGTATTAACTAGCTAAGCCACTTCCCACCTAACCTATTGTTATAATAGGTGCGGGTGTGTGCTCTGTTCTTACAGGTGGACATCATATGACGTCCTCCTGCTCATGCACACCCCAGGGACCACACAGTGGTGTGAGTTGTGACCCGCTGTGTTCAGGGTGAACATTTTACCAGCCCACTGTGCACTGTACCATGTAAACGCTGTGACCAATCACAGTGATCACATGTCATTAGTAAACAATGCCTGTCATTCATGGCCATTGCTTACTATTGTGATCTCTGTGGTTGGTCACAGTGATCACATGGAATAGGGCCAAACACAGTGGACCTGTACCATGTGATAGATATGGCCAATAATAGCTATCACAATAGTAAACAATGGCAAAGTGAATGGATGCAATTCATAGTGCAAAAATGATTGCTTATACAGTGATCGTCACTGTAATAAGCAATCATAGTGTAAAAAAATTCCTGATCACCTCCCCAGAGTAGTACAGTGTCACTATAGTACGTTGTACTGCTCTGGTGTCAGTATGTTCAAAAAATGTAAAGAGAGAAAAAAAAAATTGTTTAAAAAAAACTGTAAACAGAATTATATACTGTATACACTCACCGGCCACTTTATTAGGTACTCCTTGCTAGTACCGGGTTGGACCCCTTCTTGCCTTCAGAACTGCCTTCATTATTCATGGTATAGATTCAACAAGGTGTTGGAAACATTCCTCAGAAATTTTGTTCCAAATTGACATGATAGCATCACACAGTTGCTACAGATTTGTCGGCTGCACATCCATGAACAGCTGATACAAGGCAGGATGGATCCATGCTTTCATGGTGTTTAAGCCAAATTCTGACCCCACCATCTGAATGCTGCAGCTGAAACTGAGACTCATCAGGCCAGGCAACATTTTTCCAATCTTCTATTGTCCAATTTTGGTGAGCCTGTGTGAATTATAGCCTCCATAGCTGACAGGAGTGGCACCCGGTGTGGTCTTCTGCTGCTGTAGCCCATCTGCTTCAAGGTTGGATGTGTTGTGTGTTCAGAGATGGTATTCTGCATACCTTGGTTGTAACGAGGGGTTATTTTAGTTACTGTTGCCTTTCTATCATCTCCAACCAGTCTGCCCATTCTCCTCTGACCTCTGACACCAACAAGGCATTTTCCTCCACACAACTGCAGCTCACTGGATATTTTCTCTTTTTCGGACCATTCTCTGTAATCCCTAGAGATGGTTGTGTGACAATCCCAGTAGATCAGCAGTTTTTGAAATACTCAGTCCAACTCATATTGCACAACAACCATGCCTGGTTCATAGTCACTTAATTTCCCTTACTTTCCCATTCTGATGCTCGGTTTAATCTTCAGCAAGTCGTCTTCACCGCGTCTGGATGCCTAAATGCATCGAGTTGCTGCCATGTGATTGGCTGATTAGTAATTTGTGTTACCGAACAATTGAACTGGTGGACCTAATAAAGTGACTGGCGAGTGTGTGTATATACAGTATATATATATATATATATATATATATATATATATATATATATATAGCACAGTGGCTTAGTGGTTAGCACTCCCAACCATGGAGTTTGCATGTTCTCCTTGTGTTCACGTGGGTTTCCTCCGGGTACTCCGGTTTCCTCCAAAGACATGCTGGTAGGTTAATTGGCTCCTGTCTAAATTGTCCTAGTTTTATCCCTGGCCATGCGGGATCTCCTGCATGGTGGGGGTTGGGGAAAGACCTGGTAACCTACCCTGTAAAAATAATTTCTAAGAGAATTCATGGAAAAAGTCACTTACGAGTGACGGTCCATGCAATCGCCAAGGGTCAGATATGACTGAATAGATATATATAGTATATATATATTTTTTTTTACATACTGTAACCAATCAGTGTCCCTAATCACTGCAACATTAGTTATATTGTCCCTAGTTACCACCACACTGGTTACAGTGTCTCTTTATGCGTAATTTATGCTCCTTGAAATCCCAAAGGTGCTCTTTGGATTTTGGGCCCATCTAAGCATCTTGGTTGTGAAAAAGGTCTCCCACACGTGGTACCCCCATACTCGGCAGGCATAGCAGAATGTGTTTTGGGCTGTAATTGTACGTATGACTATGCTGCATGTGAGAAATAACTTGTTAAACTGAAAAATATGAAAGAAAAACATTGTATTTAATTGTTTTCATTTTCCAAAAAAGTGTGACAAAACGTACAACTTTGGCGTGTCTATATTCCAAAAAGGGGTCATTTTGGGGGTATTTGTTTTGTCCTGGCATTTTAGGGCCTCATAACATTTCGACAAGAAAATTCACCCTGGATCTTTTGATGATGAAACGCGTCTGGGGGAGCCTCCTACTGACATCATCGCGTCCTATGCCGGCTTAGTGATTATTTTTACATGTGCATTGTTTTTAATGACACATGAGTGCATTTCTTGGCTTAAATAAATATTTAAACTGATTTTTACACTATGGAGAGGCAACTTTGTTTGCTTTGTATGAGTTGTATTGTTGAAAGTTCAGACTTGGTTGTTTGAGTAGCAGCTTTCCTAATGGCTACAGAAGATGTTCGAAGGTGCCATTGATATCTCTGGAAACTGGAAAAGTGCTATATGACCATTCTTATTAAAGGGGGTCATAGATAATTGGTAAATGTGTATTCCACTATCACTCTGGGGGAAGGTGCATGTTTTGATGTCACTGACACAACGCCATCTGAAGAGGCACAGATTTACTTTCTTTGCACTTGAAAATGGGACTTTATTAGGACACTTTATTTAACCACATCCCACCCGACCTACAGTTGTGTTCAAAATAATAGCAGTGTGTTGAAAAAAGTGAATAAAGCTGAAAATCCTTCTAATAGCTTTTATTTCCATCCACACAAATGCATTGGGAACACGACACATTCTATTCCAAATCACAACATGAAGAAAAATATATCAAATTTGTGTTGTTCCTCTAAAAAAATTGAAGAAAAGTGAATATTAGACGGTTCAAAAAAATCGCAGTGTTTGTATTCTTCTTTACAAACTCAAACATTCACTATATAAACTGAGAAATGTTTGAAGATTTTGCTTTCCTTTGAATGACTTCATGAATATTTGGTTGTAGTCGCACTGTTTCTGAGAACTGCTGTACATCTGTGTTGCATGGAGTCAGCCAACTTCTGGCCCCTGTGATCAGGTATTCCAGCCCAGGATGATTGGACTACATTCCACAGTTCTTCTCTATTTCTTGGTTTTGCCTCAGAAACTGCATTTTTGATGTCACCCCACAAGTTTTCTATTGGATGAAGATCCGGGGATTGGGCTGGCCACTCCATAACGTCAATCTTGTTGGTCTGGAACCAAGATGTTGCACGTTTACTGGTGTGTTTGGGGTCGTTGTCTTGTTGGAACCCCCATTTCAAGGGCATTTCCTCTTCAGCATAAGGCAGCATGACCTCTTCAAGTATTCTGATGGATTCAAACTGATCCATGATCCCTGGTATGCGATAAATAGGCCCAACACTGTAGTATGAGAAACATCCCCATATCATGATGCTTGCACCACCATGCTTCACGGTCTTCACAGTGTACTGTGGCTTGAATTCAGTGTTTGGGGGTCGTCTGACAAACTGTCTCCGCCCACTAGACCCAAAAAGAACAATCTTACTTTCATCAGTCCACAAAATGTTGCGCCATTTCTCTTTAGGCCGGTCAATGTGCTCTTTGGCAGATTGTAACCTCTTCAGCACACGTCTTTTTCCCAACAGTGGGACTTTGCGGGGACTTCTTGCAGATAGCTTGGCTTCACATCGGCGTCTTCTAATTGTAACAGTCCTCACAGGGAACGTCACACCTTCTTTCATCTTCCTGGAGCTGATTGTTGGCTGAGTCCTCACAGGGAACGTCACACCTTCTTTCATCTTCCTGGAGCTGATTGTTGGCTGAGTCCGCCCCATTTTGGCTATTCTTCTATCCATTCCAATGGTAGTTTTTCTCTTTCTTCCACGTCTTTCAGGTTTTGGTTGCCATTTTAAAGCATTTGCGATCATTTTAGCTGAGCAGCCGATCATTTTCTGCACTTCTTTATATGTTTTCCCCTCCAATCAACTTTTTAATCAAGGTACGCTGTTCTTCTGAACAATGTCTGGAACGACCCATTTTCCTCAGAATTTCAGAGAGAAATGCACTGTAACCAGCATGTCCAACATTTGCTGCCTTCCTTCCTTAAATAAGGGCAATAATTGCCACCTGTTTTTCAAAGAATGAATGACCTCACTAATAGAACTCCACACGGCTATTATTTTGAACACGCCCCTTTCAATGAGTGATTCAATGACACAGAATCAGCAGCATGCATGTCATGACTGTTGGGTCTGTTGGATTTCTATGACTCTACTACACCTGCTAGGAAATTATTTGCCATGTAGAAATATCATTTCCACCAAAAACAGTGATTGATCCGGTTAGTGATGTCTGACTGCTATTATTTTGAACACAACTGTATATCAATTTGACCGCTGGGCAGGACTTTCCTCATTCCAGGTGGATGTCTTTTGACGTCCTCCCGGAACGAGGCTCACACAGCCTTGGGGCCACGCTGCAGGTACAATCTGTCACCAGCTGTGTCCATCGGACACAGTCGATGACTGATCAGTGTACTGGCCCACTGCCAGTACCTAGTGATTGCTGTGACCAATCACAGCAGATCACATGACAATTGTAAACAAAGAAGGGTTTTGTTTCATGGTATTCATTGTTACAATTGTGTTGTTAGCTGTGATTGGTCACGGTGATCACATGGTACAGACAGGGCCAATCACAGCCCATCTGTACCAAGTGATTAGCTATGACCAATCAGAGCAAAACCACGAATGAATCTATTTCATTTAGTAAAATGCTTGCTTATAGCAGTGAAATTCACTGCCATAAGCAATCATAATATGTAAAAAAAAAAAAAAAAAAACCCTGATCACTTTCCCAGAGTAGTACAATGTTACTATGGTAACATTATATTTCTCTGCTCACAAATTTTAAAAAAATAAAATAACAAAAAAATTTAATAAAAAAGGGGAAAAATATTATTTTATTTTTGTACAGTCGTCAGTGTCCCTGATCACCGCTACACCAGTTATGTGATGATGCTGCACTGCACTTGTGACAGTATGTAACAAAAATTCCTAATTTTCAAAAACATTATGACAAACAAATTACAACTTAAGAAAAAAAACTTGCTATGCCTCTTAGTAATACCTGTCTACTTTCCAAAAAAAGGGGTCATTTTGGGTGTATTTGTACTGTCCTGATATTTCTGGGCCTCAAGACATTAGATCGGCCATCAGTACATCAGGATTGATCGAATTTTAACATATACCGTATACCTACATTTGAAGACTCTATAACTTTCCTACAGACTAAATATTAAACACTGATTTAGGTTCTTTTCACCACCAAGAAATGTAGCAGAATACATTTTGGCCTAAATTTATTAAAAACAATTACCGTATTTTTCGCTCCATAAGACGCACTTTTTTCCCCCCCAAAAAAGGGGGGAAAATGTCAGTGCGTCTTATGGAGCGAATATAGAGCGGCCGGTCCGGTATTTCCACCGCCGCCGTGCAGAATACCGGGCCGGCCGCTCAGCTCTGCAGCGGGACCTTAAGGAGAGGACTGCTGACCTTTGGGGAGGTGGGGAGCGGGTACCTGAATTTGACAGGTACCCGCTCTTACTTATTTGTTCTTTATCTTACCTGTTCCTCTATCCAGCGGCACGCTGTCTTCCCGGCTTCTGTAGTGTGGGCACTGGGCATGACAGCCGGGTGCCCAGTGCGCATGCGCAAGAAGCGGTGCTTTTTGTGAATGGTAAGGCGGTACCTGGGACACATGACCGATCCCAGAAGCCGCCGGACCAATCACAAAGCGCAAGTGCTTCTCACTCATGCGCACTGGGCACCCGGCTGTCATGCCGAGCGCCATTACAGAAGCCGGGAAGACAGCGCGCGGCTGGATCGAGGATCAGGTAAGATGAAAGAACAACTCCGCGGAAGTAAGAGCGGGTACCTGTCAAATTCAGGTACCCGCTCCCCACCTCCCCAAAGGTCAGCAGTCATCTCATGTACTGTCCGCAGTCTCTGGTCATCCCTGTGCTGTCCGCAGTCTCTGATCATCCCTGTGCTGTCCGCAGTCTCTGGTCATCTCCTGTACTATCCGCAGTCTCTGGTCATCCCTGTGCTGTCCGCAGTCTCTGGTCATCCCTGTGCTGTCCGCAGTCTCTGGTCATCCCTGTGCTGTCCGCAGTCTCTGGTCATCCCTGTGCTGTCCGCAGTCTCTGGTCATCTCCTGTACTGTCTGCAGTCTCTGGTCATCACCTGTACTGTCTGCAGTCTCTGGTCATCTCCTGTACTGTCTGCAGTCTCTGGTCATCTCCTGTACTATGTCTGCAGTCTCTGGTCATCTCCTGTACTATCCGCAGTCTCTGGTCATCCCTGTGCTGTCCGCAGTCTCTGGTCATCCCTGTGCTGTCCGCAGTCTCTGGTCATCCCTGTGCTGTCCGCAGTCTCTGGTCATCTCCTGTACTGTCTGCAGTCTCTGGTCATCCCTGTGCTGTCTGCAGTCTCTGGTCATCCCTGTGCTGTCCGCAGTCTCTGGTCATCTCCTGTACTGTCCGCAGTCTCTGGTCATCCCTGTGCTGTCCGCAGTCTCTGGTCATCTCCTGTACTGTGTCCGCAGTCTCTGGTCATCTCCTGTACTGTCCGCAGTCTCTGGTCATCCCTGTGCTGTCCGCAGTCTCTGGTCATCTCCTGTACTGTCCGCAGTCTCTGGTCATCCCTGTGCTGTCTGCAGTCTCTGGTCATCTCCTGTACTGTGTCCGCAGTCTCTGGTCATCTCCTGTACTGTCCGCAGTCTCTGGTCATCCCTGTGCTGTCCGCAGTCTCTGGTCATCCCTGTGCTGTTCACAGTCTCTGGTCATCCCTGTGCTGTCCGCAGTCTCTGGTCATCCCTGTGCTGTCCGCAGTCTCTGGTCATCCCTGTGCTGTCCGCAGTCTCTGGTCATCCCTGTACTGTGTCTGCAGTCCATTAGTTCAGAATTTTTTTTTTCCTGTTTTCTGCCTCTAAAACCTAGGTGCGTCTTATGGTCAGGTGCGTCTTATGGAGCGAAAAATACGGTATGTATTTGCAAAATTTTATCACAGAAACAAAGAAAAAACTATTTTTTTTAAATAAATATTTGTTTGTTTTTTCATTTATTTAGGAAAAATGGGTGATTAAATACCACCAAAAGAAAGTTCTATTTGTGTACAAAAAAATTGACAAACATTTAGTTTGGTTACAGCGTTGCATGACTGTGCAATTGTCATTCATAGCTAAATGCTTAAAATTGGCCTGGGTAGGAAGGGGGGGGGGAAGTACCCGGTATTGAAGTGGTTAATTTAATTTATCTTAATTCTAGAATTTTTATAATTTTTTTTACTAATATTTGAATTTTAAGGTTTATACACTGGGATTGTATGTTTTGCACATATATTATATTTGGTAGTTATTTACTGAGCGCAACACGCTAATATTCCAGTTATATTTTTTAGAAGGGATGTCTTCTTTTTGTGTTTGCTGCTATATAATTTTAGGGGTTTTAGGAGTTTTTTAGGGCAGTTAAGCGGTTTTCACAATTTAACAAAAAAAATAAATAAAAACCCAGTGGTGATTACCACCAAAAGAAAGTTTCATCTATCTAAAAAAAAAAAAAAAAAAAAAGATAACTTTCAATAGGGTACAGTGTTGCATGATTGAATTTTCATTTAAAGTGTGACATCCCTAAAAGCTGGAAATTGGTCTGGACTGTAACCACTGTTTACACCCCCCCCCCCCCCCTCCTGACCGGGCCATTTTTTGCGTTACTGTAACTGACAATTGCGCGGTCATGCAATGCTGCACCCAAATGAAATTTATTTTTGCGCTATCAATAAAAAAAGACCAACAATTTTGAGAAAATTAATATATTTTTGACCTTTTGCCAGTAAAAAAAAAAATTTAAAAATCAAATTTCCTCATAAATTTAAGGCAAAATCTATTCTGCTTCGTGTATTTGCTAAAAAAAAATCCCAATATGTGTAAATTAATTGCTTTATGCAAATGTTATAGTGTTTACAAATGGCGGCATAGATACTGAAATTTTTTTTTTTTATACTAGTAATGGCGGTGAGCAGTGACTGCGGCGGGCATTCTGACACTGGGGGGGGAACTGACTTTGTTTCACTGACATCCCCAGTGACAGCAATGCAGTGATCAGTGCTAATACAAATCACTGACACTGTACTAATGGCACTGGGCAGGAAGGGGTTACCATCTGGGGCCATCAAAGGGTTAACTGTGTGCTGTGTGTGTTTTACTATGGAGACATGCTGTGCAGAGCGATACACAGCAGCACATCCTTGCTTACAGGGGAGAGATCTGTGTTCTCTACATACAGGTCTCTCCCCTGTCAGTTATACTCACTGGTCGCCGGGTGAAGGCGGGAAATCTCAGGCCGGGACCCAGTGATTGACAGCTGTAGCTGCCAATGGCGGTGTGGATAGGGCGTTGTGCACGCGCACCCCCTACTCGGAAATGCAAAGTCACGCATATTTACGATTTTGTGCACCCGTGTCACCCTGTAGCAGTAGTTCTGATATGGGGGGGTCAGGAAGAGGTTAAAGGCGTACCTGTTGGTAAAACATTAACAAATAGGGTTTACTTTCACTTTAAAGGAATTGTAAACCTTCGCCTTGTAAAACAACCCATTCAGTTTACAACATAAATTAAAGGCAAAACATTTGTATATAAATATAAATAAATACCCCCCCCCTTTTTTTTTTTATAAATGACCTTATACCCTCTGTTTTCAGCTCCGCAGAGAGGTGGGGGTGGAGAAACAGCAGCTCACTGATCTTCCCAATGAATGGCTGTACAGGTATGTGTGTCAGCACAAGTCTGATCACTGGAAGAGAGCAGGCTGAGTTCCCAGCACGGGTAGAGAACTGACCACGCTGCGCTCTCATACCTAGTGTGGTCAGTTTTTGATAGGAAAGCAGAGGGACTGGTAGGATCACCAGGATTTCACAAAGGAAGCAATACAAAGAGAACAGGGCACTCTTCATGCATTACATGGTACAGCAGGCAGAGATCAGGAATATGACATGCTGGGTTTACATATTCTTTCATTTGCACAGGACTAACATGCACGCAGATTCACTGGATGGATGGATGGATGGATATGCTTTTTTTAATTGTTTTTAAATAAGAAGACCCCTTAAACTCCAAACCTTCTGCATTCATTAATATCTAGCACAGTACAACATCCAACTGATTTAGGAGGCAGGAACCATCCATGACCCCCCTACACTGGCCTGCCTGCCCACACGTCCCTCTCCATTCCCCAGTGTTGGGTCTCATTGTCCCGGATGCCGTGATTTCCTCCTCAGAAATGGGAACATGGAGGTTCTTGGCTGCCTCTCACCTTTGGAAACAAACTGTAAAGGCTCTCGGTGACGTTTCTGCTTCCTTTCCCTCCATCATAGCGAATTGTACGTCCAATCGGAGTGTTCTCCTGCGTCACGATCATGGAATAGGAGGCGTTGCAACATTTTTGAAACTCCGCCCTGAGCAATGAAAAAGAATTCATACAAATCATCATCCATAACTGGGTGTCGTTCACGTCCGCCATGCTTCTACATAAATATATACATTTAATGATTACAATCAAATTGTTTTCATCTTCTTTTCATCCTTTGTTGTGTCTCAGTGTTCCTGATCTCCTCCTGCCACTCTTCAGCCAAGCCTACTTAACCACTTACCCTCCAGAGGACCCCCCCCCCCCACCAGGCCATTATTTGCGTTACAGCCAGGGGCGGACTGACAACTCATGGGGCCCCCGGGCAATTGAGGATCATGGAGCCCCTGTGTCCTTGCCCACACTCAAAACACACCCAAAAAAAGCCTATAAAAGGTACTAGGGGCATTTTATGGGGCCCCCTAATGACCCCAGGCCCTCAGGCAGTGCCCGAGTGCTGGAATGGTCAGTCCGCCCCTGGTTACAGTGTTACTTTAACTGACAATTGAGCAGTCATGCAACGCTGCACCCAAATGAAATTTACGTCCTTTTTTCCCTCAAACAGAGCTTTCTTCGGTGGTATTTGATTGCCTGTGCATTTTTTTTTTTTTTGCGCTATAAACAAAAAAAAATGACAATTTTGAAAAAAAAACTATTTTTTACTTTTTTTCCTATTAAACATGTCCAATATAAAAATTTTAAAAATCTAATTTCGTCATAAATTTAGGCCACAATGTATTCTGCTCCGTGTCTTTGCTAAAAAAAATCCCAATACATGTAAATTAATTGGTTTACATGACAGTTATAGCGTCTGCAAATGGCGGGAAAGATACTGGAATTTTTTTTTTACTAGTGATGGCGGCAATCAGCAACTTATACCAGGACTGCGGGCGGCATTCTGACACTGGGTGGGAACTGACTAACTGCCACTGACATCTCCAGTGACACCAATACAGTGATCAGTGCTAATTAAAAGCACTGACACTGTACTAATGGCACTGGGAAGGAAGGGGTTAACATATGGGGCCATCAAAGGGTTAACTGTGTGCTGTGTGTTACTAGGGGAAAATGCTGTGCAGATACAAAGCAGCATGTCCTGGATGACAGGAGAGAGATCTGTGTGTAAACAACTTTCCCAGATGATCACCGGGTTCCTGTGGGGAATCACTGGCCGGTACCCGGTGACTGACATCCCTAGCCGCCCTACCCAGAAATGTGAAATCAGGTCTATATAGGTGATTTTGTGCAGCCCTGCAGCAGTACTTCTAGAACTGGTTAAAGTGGCTCTAAACCTCAGATATGAAGTATGAAAGCATACCCTGCTACAGTGTGTACTTGTCTCAATTCAGAGCACTGCGTGTCATTTCCATCTGCTGCCTCTGCTATCTGCACTTCTGACACCAAGAGAAAAAAAGGTGACAGCACACAGCTTGTGATTGACAGAATCAGCTCTGTTCCTGTGAGCTGTGTGGAGGGGGTGTGTTCCTTACCTCCAATCAGCTCTCAGAGCTCTGCAGAGTGTAATTTCAGCTCTCTGCCCCCTTTTTTTTTGACAGCCCTACAAGCTTTATAAAATCAGCACATTGATAGATGTAGAGGAAGAGATGCAGATTAACAGAAATATATTATTTCAAAACTGTAAATGGTGAGTGTTCTCTGAATGAAAGCAGCTGGCACAAGTGACAGTGACAATCGATCACAAAATATAATCTATGTGTATAAAGTGCAGCGCAAAAAAATCTATCCAACACATTTAAAACAACAAAAATATGTGCAAATTAGTGCAATCAATAAAGCAACATGAATTAAGTCCATTCAGTATAAATGTGTATCAGTGACGTCATGAAGCAAAAAGTGTCCAATTCCACACAGTGAATACTCCGCCACCACTATGCACTCACCACTATGCACTCACCACAGTGCACTCACCACTCTGCACTCACCACTGTGCACTCACCACTCTGCACTCACCACTGTGCACTCACCACTCTGCACTCACCACTGTGCACTCACCACTGTGCACTCACCACTGTGCATTCACCACTCTGCACTCACCACTCTGCACTCACCACTCTGCACTCACCACTGTGCACTCACCACTCTGCACTCACCACTCTGCACTCACCACTGTGCACTCACCACTGTGCACTCACCACTG